AAAAAAATATTTACAATAAATAAAATATATTTAAAGATAAATAAAGTAAAATAACACAGACACACCTATGTACAAAAATTTAATTTTAAAGATATTTGTTTTTTTAAAACAGCCGTTTAAATCGATGATATTTTTTCTAATTACATGTATTTTATTTTCTCGTGAGGTAGAAAATATGAAATAATGTGAATGAAGTGTGAAGCCTGAAGTGATCCCGTTTAAAGCATGAGTTTACATTGAAGAAAAAAAATTTCTGAGAAGTGCTTGAACCTCTAACACCTTCCTGTACCTCTCTTTTTGCTCCATCAAGTGGTGGGCGTTGGTAGTTGAATACCAAAAGCTCTTGAAAGAAGAGAACCTTCAATAGGGCACAGAAGATGGTTATTCACTGAGGCTTAAAGAAGGGGCTTTTACAAACAGGGGATTTGACAGTAATGATGGTATGCTGAGCCTTCGCATTGCTCTAAATACGCTTAAGTAAATAATAGCACTACAGAGAATATTAACTACATATAAAGTATCTGGAATAATTTTTAAACGATTTCGAAGATATATTGATAAACACAGGATAGTTTTCTTATTTTGTTCTCATATGTGGCGTATCATAATTAAAAATAAAAATGTTCAACTAATTTTTATTATTATTGAAATAAGCAAGTCGACTATTCTACATATCATGGGTGATAAATATTCAGGAGGTAGTCTTTTAAAAAGAAATTTTAATTTTTTATCTGTGCTAACGTTTCAACCCAAACATGTGGGTCATCTTCAGGGCGTGGTACGAGCACTGAATGTTTTCAAGTACTGAGTACTGCGAGTGCTTGAAAGCATTCAGTACTCGAACCACGCCCTGAAGATGACCCACATGTTTGGATTGAAACGTTGGCACAAATAAAAAATAATTTTTTTTTTTTTAAAGGACTGCGTTCTGAATATCTACCACCCATAATTTTTATTATTGTTGTTCTTCGTTTATTTGGTTTTAATGTCCTCATGTACCCCTACTAAGCCCAGGAAGGATAGTCTATCCTTCATTAAAGCAATATATTATTGTATGAAATTTGTTTTAAAACGTCAAAAATTTAACTGGATGGCATTGAAAATTCTATACATTCAGCTTATAAAATTCAATAATTAAGTTTTCTAACGGATATAGTAACATCGAATTCGGAGAACATTCTGAAGAGTTATGAATGATCGGAAGGATGTTGTGTTTCACCAAGATAACGCTAGGCCCACTCATTGGTCACTCGCAATAAATTATTGAGCCTTGGATGGGACCTTTTGCCCCACCTTCCCTATTCTCCAGACCTAGCTCCAAGTGACTACCACTTATTCCGCTCTCTGCAGAACTCCATGAATGGAAAAAAAATCCGAAAGAAAGATGACATCAAAAACCACTTGGATCAGTTTTTTAACAATAAACTCCAGACATTCTATGAACATGGCATTATGCATTTAGTGGAAAGATGGGAAACAGTCATACTAAATAATGGACATTATTTTGTAGATTAAAATAAATTTTATGTTTATAATATATTAAGTTTTATTTCACCCTGAAAAACCAAATTTGCCAACCCAATAGATTCTTTGGCAATGACTCTTGGACTAAATGACATTCATCACGCCAAACACAAATTCCAGTTATTATCAACGTGTTGAAGAGAATATTATTTATTATTATTATTTTGGTAAATTCACTGGATTATTTAGATAAATTTAGGTTTACTATTTATTTGTTGTTAACAAATTAGTATGAATCCTAACATTATACAAAACGGTATGTTTCAGTGAATTTACTGAGGTCAAATTAAATTAGTTCAACAGGAATATTCTGACAGAATCAGGTTGACAAGATCGGTTCGATACGATATTGTCAAGCAATACGACACCATACAGTTTGATGGTGGGTTCGGGTAGAGCTAGTCGAGTCTCCATTTCACAACCTCTCATATATGAAGCGCCATAATAATACTAATATACAATACAGTAATATATTCAATAATTACTTGAAGAAATAAGCAACAGCTTTGAGAACGAACTGAAATCGTTAAGAGGGCATCCACCCTCGAGGTCTGATTATCTCAACGAGATTTTCTTTTATCTTTTCTTCATCTTATCAGCGAGGCTTTTCCATCAGCGGAATCTCAAGCTTCCAAGTATCTAATAGCTTTCGGCCACTGAAGTATTATTAAATTTTTACAGATTATGATAAAACAAAAAATTCATTTCACTAAGAAAAAAATATTAGAAAAAATTATCAATCGGTATGTAACACTTTTACCCCCCTTAGCGAAGTAAATAAATCACCCTTAGTCTCGGAGAGTACTAAATCGTACGGGAGGGTCCCTTCCGATTTAATTCCCCTAAATACTCTCACAAATCATCTTCTGAAAACTAGAAAAGGGTGTTCCTGTTTTTCATTGGAATTTATTGTTCCCACTAGACTTTTTTATTCTTTGAATTATTCTTTTTAAGAGTTTGATTCAGTTGCATCGGCAAACAATGTTTAGAAAATATGGATTTTCATTCTCATTCTATCACCCCTGTCATCAATAGCTTCTGTATTTTTTTTTGTAATTCAAGCAACAAAAGTGCTTTTGTCGGTTAGTGTTATTGATTTTGGTCGACAATTTTGAAGCCAATAAAATATTTTTTTTTAAAAATCTATTGAATAATAATACAATCAGCCACTACTGGAGGGCTATAAGCATTAGGACTAAAAGTTCTCATTCATACAATATATACAAATAATAAAGAAATAAATATAAGAAGTAAATAAATAATACTGATGAAGAAGGTAAATAAAAAGAAAAAAAATAAGCAAATAAAATAAAAACTTCTAAACACAATCATAACTATACAGAACACATACATTCGCCCAAGAATCTCCGTGCCAGGCTTTTTCCCCCGCACGTGGAAGGCAAAGCAAGACTTCGGAAGATCCCAGTGCCACTTTTCCAGCCGCTCACTAGTATTAGAAGCCAGTGAGACTGAAAGAAAGTCCTATACCAAATGTTTTGAAATCTTTTAATTTTAAAATTTAAGATTAAAATAGATTCAGTTTATTAATGATTATTCGTAAGATTCAATAACGATCATACAAAATTAGTGGATGTTACTTATATCTGGATGTATGCAAGAAGAAAACAAATTTTATTTAATCGAGTCTGGATAATAATAAATATTGATTGGTTATGATCCTTGGGAATTTGGATTCCCTAAATTGCTTGAAAAAACATACTCTAAATATATAGATATACATCATTTTCTATCCCTTAAGACGGATAGAGTTATTTGCTTAGTCTTTTTTGTTTAAATTAAAATATTTTTGAGAAGGAGTTGATCGGAGGTTGCGGTCAATCTCTATCACTTCCTGGCTGCTTGTCCGATACTCTCAGAATTTAGAATTAAATGGTTAAAATCTAGAAATTTATCTCGGGATCAATTAATAGATTTAATTAATGGAAACAATTGGATAGCATTGGTAAATTACTGCGTCTACTTTCTCTTATAGAATAATGCTCACGAAAGAATTTAACAATTAATTAATTGGAGAATTTTGGTGCCACTCTTTTTGTAATTAAAATATTTATGTAACTTTTACATTGTAAATATAATTGTTCTTATTTTCTTATTAATAAGTTGTATATAAATCGATTGAAATATATTCTGTTATAAAACTCCTCTGATGGTCAACAGACCATGTAGTACGTCTGGTTTTCGGTTTTGATCAATTATTTTTTTAAGAATACTTAAGAAATGCAAGTAACATAAAACTCATTAAAAAAAAAAACGTGAAACCTCAAATTTAGAGAGGGGGTTAAGTTTTTGAATTTTTTGGTCGATCACAATGGTTGATTATTGAAAATAATAAACCAAAAATATGTAAAAACCGCGATATCTCTACTAATAGTGCTTTGATTTCGATGAAACTTCCTTCATTTTTCAGAAAATTTAAATACCTTTGAAACATTTCATCACAATATCAACAAAAAAGTAAAAACTTTTCGATTTATTCGGAATTTAATTTTACCATGCCTCATAATTTTTTTTCAGCTTCTTTTCGTTGAAGTATGTTATATAGATAAATTTAAAGGGCACCGAGAAAAGCACTTTAGCGAAGTTTCATTGAAATCTGTACATTCGTTTAGGAGCTACAGTCTATAGCAACGCAGGTTTTTCGGCCGCCATTTTGAAAGTTAAAGGCAGAGAGTAATGTCGATGAAGGAGGATCATCCTCGGGTGAACTCTAATTTTATATCAAAATTTGAAAAAAATCGGAACAGTAGTTTCGAATTCTATGCGTCCTGAAACGTGAAAACTCAAATTTTGAGAGGGGGTTAAGTTTTTTAATTTTTTGGTCGATCACAATGATTGATTATTCAAAATAATAAACCAAAAGATCAGTTATGGAAATAAACTCATTTTGACATAACTTTTTTTAATATTTAGGTTTGATTTTGAAATGCTGAAGGTCCCAGGTTCGAATCCCGACCCATGGTAGACAAATTATTTATTCTGTTTCATTGGTGGTGGGGCAATCTTGATGTCAAGAGACCCTCCTTGGGCATATCCAGCCTCTTATAGTGGGTACCCATAATTAAATAATTAATTAAGGGGGAAAACCTAGCGGTTTAGTGTGATGTCGGTCAAATCATCTCCTTGTACAGCCGTTGAAAAAGAAATTTTTTCTCTGAATAGTACTGAACCCAAAACTCTTCATGGGTTCAAGTTGCACAGGTTTTTTGAACTAAAAAATTGGATTTTGTTACATACGAATCGATACTTATCTCGATTTCCAAAAAACAATATTATGATTCCCTTTTGAAATAAGCGACTCAGGTATAATCAACTTATAACAAAAATCGATAAGGTGAGTCATTATTTTTGTCCACAAGGTTTATAATTTATGCAAAAAGGAACAAAAACAAAAATAAAAAGATTTTTTTTTTTAAAACATTAACTTTGCCTGTTAGTTTTTACACATTTTGTTACAGCTCCTGACTATGAACTTCTAACAAAATACCCCCCTTTTAACGACTGGAGAAGACTAAGGCATACTCGAGAAATCGGATTGTGGAAGGAGGTCTTAATCCATTGTTAACACCTTATCACATCTTGTCCGGCCCCGGGACCGGATAAAGGCCGAGAGAATCGAGTTAAGGGTGAACAATTCAGTATTTACACAGGAGACCTGTTCAACGCCCACGGCAAACAGAGCCGCTGCCCTTAGCACAACCTACTTGGATTTATTTCACGGATTTATTTAATCAAAGGATCGTTAAAAAACATACAAATTAAATAAAGAAATTTCTTACAGAATCAACAATAAAATATCAATGATGCATCTTTCTTCTGAAACTACGGAAAAGTTTTTATATTTTATATGTCCACCAAGAAACAAAAAAAAAATTGAATTAGATTTATTTTCCTGAATATTGATTTAAGAAAAGATTTTAGTACGATTTCTTTGATAAACTAAATCAATATAACCGGCTTGTGGAAGATCAGTGTAAGAAATTCAATACACTCTAATATTGCTAATGAAAAAGGTTTTGCCATAGTCCAATTTTTTTGACCCATCGAGCTCTGAAACGTACAGATTCGAAGAAAACAGTGCATCGGAAATTTGACCCGAACGCAAAACGTTGACCGAGCTCGCCCGAAAGATTAGAACGCTTTTATCCCTAATATGACCTTAATATAATACTGACTCCGAGAATATACATACATATGCGGCTTTCATAAATGCTATCGTTGCTATTATTTGATATTTAATTGTATAGATTACAGCGGTATATACATATATATAGATTACCCGCATCAGATTTTTTAATTTTTTATTTAAGGTAATTTAATTACCTTTCAAAAGTTTACCATATAATATATACTTAGCGAGTTAGGTCCCAAAAGATTTTTCTTTTCTATATAATTTTTTTGTCCTGAATTTTCTCGTGAACTTAGTACATGTACGAAAATTGAAAGGACGTTAATTAGAAAATTATAGGAAAGTTTCATCAAAGCCGTTTCTCCGCTACTGTCTATAGCGGATATGTTTATATATTATAAACATATTATTCAATATGTTTTTCACTTATTGAACAGCCACAATGGCGCAGGACAAAATAAAAAAAGAAGTAACAAAATCCGCCTACTAGTTCCCGAGATAATCTTGGCAAAGGCAGAAAGACCAATGGCTGAAAATGTGTTTTTCAGACTCCGGGAGTTCTGAAACGTACAGATCCGTCGAAAACCGCAATCGGAAATTTACCCAATCGCAATACTTTCCTAACCTGGTATGGATAGGAAAGTAAAAAAACTTCATGTTTTCTTTATATTAACCCTCTATACAACAAACTGTTTGCTTTAGAGGGATTTTTCTTTTATATCGGCGTCAACACTTATTAATCCTGTTCTAAACAGAAATATTTTTTAGATTCTGTAGCATTTCACTGATTGGGAATAATTCAGTCTTTACTGAGATTTCAAAGCGTGATTTTTGAGTTTAAAGTCGGCCCAAATAGCCTGAAATTATTGAAGCCAGAGGCGATTGCAGTGTGAGTCAGTGTCCCGTTCAGTTATGTTTAAAAAAAATCGAGAGACTTCAGCCTTGAAAATCAAGATGGTCGAGATGTTGATGATGGAATCTCGATGGCAATATTCTAAGTGCTTTGGTCGAAGAAAATCCCAGAGCAACTGTTCCAGAACTTGCTGAGAAACTCTCAGTTACTAAATTAACTATTGCTAACTACTTCAACGCAATCGAAAAGGTAAAACATATATTTTTTTTGCTTCTTTGGCAATTATATTTTAGACAAAATCTTATTTTGCCAGAAATTTTTATATTTTTATGTATTTAAGCCGCACTTTTATTTTTGTAATGAACTTTTTAAGTTGATTGTGTTCTTTGAGATCTCGCTGTTTTATTATTTTTGGAATATTGAGCTACAACCCCTCGATGTATTTCCTTATCTCTTTGTCGAAACGCTTACACGATATCACCAGATGTAGTGGGCCCTCGACTTCGTCACATATCTCACAATTTGGTGTCGTCATTATTTGTGAAGAATTTATTTGTATTTACACGATTGGTTCCATTTGTTTTCAAACATATTCCAATAGAAGCAAACCAAGGTTTTAATGAGATTTTAGGGTGGATTAAGTACTGTTCTCTACCTTTGCTTTGAGACTTCTAGTCATATAAATTTTGCCATTAGTTGACAATTATTTTACTTAGTGAAAGTAAACTGTCTTTTTTGGCGACTTTAGAATTAATTCTTATTGCATTGGTAGAATCTCGAGCAACTTATATTAAAACATTGTCTTCAAGGAAAAATGACCTTCCACTACCATCTTTGTCTTGAAGTCTGAAAACTTCCCCTCTTCCCCTCGAAAATTTTTAAACCATCATTGAATAGTGTACACTGTAATCGCCTCTGACTTCAATAATTTCTAGCCCTTTGGGTCCGTTCGGGCCAACTTTAGACTCGTTAAATCACACTTTGACATCTTAGTGAAGACTAAATTATTCTCAACCAGTGAAACGCAACAGAAGATAAACCATTTATGTTCACATGAGGATTAATAAGCGTTGACAGCCATACAAAAGACTAATCCCTCAAACGCAAACATTTTGTTATACAGAGGGTTAATATGAATAAAATAATGAAATACAGAATTATTCTCAACCCAATGGTCATGCATTGCGCCATCCCACACTATTTCCCAACCAGTTCAGAGAAAAATTAAATATAAAAGACTATTTGGCCTGTACGAATAATTCGCAGAAAATTTGTTTAGAGAAGAAATAGCAAAGTGATATGGATAATAAGTAGATCTTATGTATTATGTGATTGAGGAATTAATTGTTTTTCCTTGGTCGATTACAATATTCCATTTAACACAATATACCAAAATATTTGTACAACTTACTTTGCTAGGGCCAATTTTTAAATGCTAACTGGATAATAAAGAAAATAAAGACAAAATAAAGCCTCGATCATGGGGTTTTCTAAATTATTAAAAAATATAAAATATAAGAACAAACAAATGCCTTTAAGAAATAATAAAGTTAATATATCAGCCAGGAAAAAAAGTGTAGTAGAATAGTAAATGCAATATCTTTATGAGTGGTCAATTATTGGATTTGATAAATTGTTGACGAAGTTATGACAAAAAAAAACACCTTTTAGAAATAATATATAGGATAGAAGAGCTGTGCTGATGGCAACGACTTCACTTTTTAGTATGATGTTTTTCCTGCCTCTAAAACGTCTATAACTCCTCAGGATTTAATGCTCTTCAAAACCGTATAAATAACTTTTGGATCTAACACGTGTAGAAGAAATAAAATAAAGAAATAAATAAAACTCCTAACAAGTTTTTATTTTATAACATCAATTCTAAATTTTTTTTATTATTTTTTTTGGAGAGGGAAGAGAGGTAAAATTTGTGTCATTTCTTTTAGTTTTTAAGTCCCTATTTCCCTGCTAAATTTCGTGTGGATAGGTGGAACCATATTGAAGTTATCACACTTTTTGTGATTTACGCAAAAAAAAAAATCAAAGGAGAGTGACTTAGGTCCAAATAAATTTTAATTTTTCGATCGTTATGAAAATTTGTATTTGAGGGTCTTTCAAGCTGCGAAATACAAATCGCAACTCTGTTTCTCTTTAAAAAAATATTTGAAAACAGTTTGCTCCTTTGGTCGGTACAAATTGCTTAAATTTTAAAAATTTCTAATTGATTTTTACGATTTGTTTTGTAGATAATTTAGTAATCTTTCCAATAATCGTGGGTACAATCGAGAAAAAAAAATGCATACTTTTTGAGTTTTCGCAAATAAAGTTTCTTTTCCTTCGTTAATTTTTTTTCACATAAATTTCGAACTAATTTTCACACGATAAGACGAAAAATATCTTCAAAATGAGTGGTCAATCATTGGATTTGTTTAATTTTTAAAGAAGCATACGCATAAACCACCAAATATACGTTTACTTTTAGCGATTAGCAAATAAAATTTGCATTCATCGTAAGTTTTTATAAAACTTCTTTTCAGAGAAGTATGTGATATAAACAAATTTTCAGGCAGAATGGCTTCAATGAAACTCTTTGGACACATTTCATTAAAATAATCACGACCGTTTTGGCTTTAACGTGTACCGACACGCGTTTTCTTCCTCCTCTGAATCGAAAGGGCGAATGGTTATGTTGAATCTGAAGACCATTCTCCAGTGATTTTTGACTTTGATACTAAAACCTGCATAGTGTTATTTAAGGCTTAATTTAATGCTTTTAATTTACAAGTATTTAAAAGACATGCGATATAATTTTTTTTTTATTGACTATTACAACAATCTGTCTCTTGGACATTGGTTATAGTGAGGTAGGATGACATTCACACTATATGTACAAAAAAAAAAAAAAAAAAATACATGCATACCTATATACAATCAGGCGAGGGAACTCCAGGAGAACCCTGCGCTACTCTCCAACCGCGTCACTGGTACTAAAGCCAGCGGAGATTGGTCGAGAGCACTTTAGCCACATACACACATGTCTTGAGTGAAGAATCTGGCCATTGCCAGAACTCCAATTTATACAATCTACAAAAGGTCGCGAGGCCACTGCCGTTTCAACCTTCTTGGAGGATTATAGGGATGGGAGATGCTTGATAGGGATTGTGCAAGAGGATTTGGGTGGTAAGTAAGGTTCTGGTGAAATTTGGAGAATTTTTCTGGGATAAGGTCTAGGACAAATGGGATGTTGAGGTCATGATGTAGGGTTTTGTTGGATACATAGAAAGGAGCATCGACTATTGTTCGAAGGACTTTAGACTGGAAGGATTGGATGCGCTTGATGTTAGAAAATTTTGCTGATCCCCACAGTTCTAGTCCGTAAGTCCAAATAGGTTTCAGTATTGTCTTGTAGATCAGTAGCTTGTTTTCAATGGAAAGTTTAGATTTTCTGCTTAGTAGTCGGTATAGTTGGCCGTATCGTCGGTTGAGTTCTTGTCTTTTGAGTCTAGTATGCGGGTTCCAAGTTAGTCTTCGGTCTAAATGAAAGCCAAGATACCGGACTGTGTCTGAGTAAGGAAGCTGGATG